ATCGTTCTATCGCCCAGCTCTACTTAGACGTAAACACCGGCCTGAGACTGAGCTGCCTTGACGAAGGTTTATGCTATATAATTCTGGGATCTTTGCTTCCTGTCTGCAGGCTGTCTCGGCCATATCTGACATCCGTAAAGACATTCCCATCCACCTGGAGTTGGCGAGCATGACCGACAAAGACTACATGAACAGCATAATGCAGGAGGTACATGTGGAGCGCAGCTGTGGCTCTGAGTTTTAACAAAATCTCTTCCAGCAAAGATTCATGTGCTTAGTGTCTTCACATCCCCGTGGAGTTCTGTATATTTAAAGTTTGTTTGTTTGTTTTTTTTCCTGATTCCTGTTAGCAGGTTATGCCCATTGTCAGCTCCATTGGGTTGAACGAGCAGGAGCTGCTCTTCCTCTCTCAGGCCGGAGAGGGACCTCATTCAGAAATGGAGGCCTGGAAAGGCATCCCGGATGTGGGTCGGGTCAGCGACATCCTCCTGTGGATCCTGGAGCAGCACGGCCGCAGTGAGCCATCGTCAGAAGCCGATCTCACTCGGATCCACTTCCACACGCTGGCCTACCACATTCTGGTTACAGTAGACGGATACTGGGGGAACCAGGTGGCGGCGGTGATGGCCGGAGCGCGGGTGGCCTGCAATCAGGCCTGTGGCCTCCAGTCTGTCGATGTCAGCAAGGTGGAGCTCAGAGCCCCTCTGGAGTTTTATAGCTCCCACATTGAGCCCCGGGAGCAGCTGTCCCTGAACCCAGCAGAGCCTGTTACAGTGTGGCGCCGCGGAAACGTCACCTTTTACTTCACACCGGTGCTGGTCTGCAAGCGCCCGCTTCGGACAGTTGGGCTCGGGGATGCCATCTCAGCAGAGGGACTGCTTTACTCAGAGTTACTTCCCCAGCAGCCTTTCTGAGGTTTGCTTCCAGCGGACTGTCAGCATGGCAGACGGTGAGAGGAGCTTAAAAGAACCGGAGAGATCTCAACTCCTACCGTGGTCGACGGGATGGAGTTGCCAGATCTCCAGTTTTAAATCCAGCCCTTGGACTCATCCAGCCTGCCCTGATCCCCTCTGTTGTCCCTCCTTCATTTTGTTCGGGCTGACACAGAAACTAAGGTCGAACTTTGCTGCGAGGTGGCCTGAGGCTTGAGGCTATGCACTGGATGCAGTTCGAAAGCCATCTTCGCAAACTCCAAAGAGTTTTGTCGGCTCAGCAAAATTTCCTTCTGACCTGCATATCTTCAGTATGCTGTGCCTTGAGAAAATACACGAGAAGTTATTGTTAAATATTTTATCCATATTATAGAGCTGAACAAACAAAAATGACCTTGAAGCTGTGACACGAACAGCTGAAACTGGAAACGGATGCACATGTGACCATGTGGTAGAGTTAAGCGATAGATTTGCTTCTTCAACTTTGGGTGCATAGAGCTTAGTCAATAGAACAGCTTTAAAGGGTTATTCTGTCATGTTTATCAAGCATTACTCAGTGTCTGACTTATTTACACGTAAGAACTGTTATCTATGTTATCTAAGCATACTTGACTTTGACTTTATATTATTTCTTAGCACAGAGAAAACACTAGACTGTGACAACTTGTGTTTTGTTTGTTTGTTTGTTTGTTTTTCTAGTGTTTGACCAAAACACTCTGGCATACTATGACATTTTAAGCTTGAAACCTCTACAGCACCATCCTTATTTTTTTAATAATGAATAAGAAAGTCTCATATGGCGACTTGAAATATGCTTCTGAAGCGGGTCCTTCTTTATGCAGTAAAGCTCTGTTTACAGTGAGATACCAGCTATTTAACTTAAAATGGACCTGTTATTGCTTATCTTTCATCTGTCCCGTGTATACTGTTAATAAGGGTTGATGCTCATATTAAACCGGGCCGAAATTGCAAAAATTATGACGTCCTACGTTCAGGTAATCCCCGTAAGATAAAAGCTGAACTTGGGCTGCATTAAACACCTGGTTTCGGATGTTTGTTTGTTTTTTTTTCTCTTTTCTTTCTTGGCTCTATCTGATGTCACTGAGGGCTTAGACCTGTAGTTTAATTCTTCTATTTTCGAGGGGCAGTCAATCCAAAAGGCGCTTGTTTCAGACTGTAATTGCCACAGTAGCTCCTCATTAGAGATAAAAACAAGTAAAAGACGTTGTCAGAGTTACTGCAGTTTTTTTCCTGTTTCAGGCATACAACCTCTAATCATGTCACACGATCAGCTTGAATCAGTGAAAGCTGGCCAGTATGACTCCTCTGCTTACAGCCCTAGCATATAAGGAGATTCTTCTTCATGAGCTCTTGTTACTGGTTTCTGTATCACTTACAGTATGTAAAATAATGTTTTGTATACCTCAGACGGCCACTAAAGGCACGCAATAATAATAATGGAGTCTTAATGCAACCCTATGACACAGACGAGAGTGACATTTTCGTTTAGCAGGACCGTTTCTTTGCACTAGCGGAGGCGGCAGGTTTGCCGAGAAGGTGAATGTAAGCTGAATTCTCAAAACTCCTGCTTTTTTTCTTTCTTTCTGTTTTTAAGCAAGTACAATCTGTTCAACTTCACATACTTCATATTACGTCTTGCATGTTTTTAACATTTCTGTCATTTGCATTTGTCATTAAAATGTATACGGAGAGAGAGAAGTGTGTGTCGTGCGACTGCTGATGCAGAATATTACGTGTGTTTGTGTGGGCTGTAAGAGATAATGAGTCCTGATAGACAGAATTTTAAGAAGTTTTTTCCCCCCTTTATTTCTTAATGGGTTTGTTTTATTTGTTTCTCATCATTTACCTGCTAAAATAAAATCAATTGATGAACTTACAGTGGAACATTTGTCTTAAAATGGAAATTAGATGCTGTTGTGAGGTAATTTGCATTTGTGGTTCAATAAACGTGTAAAAGGTCCAGAAACACGGTGTTGATGGATCAGTGCTGTGTTAGGTGGCGAATAAATAAATTTGAGTCTCCTCTGTACTTGAACTGCATGATTTGATTCCCATTCTGGTGTTATGTGACATGAAATTTTCTATAGGCTAAGGAGCTTGGAAAGAAAGGGGTTGGACTTCTTCAAGCCACACTAGTATGATTTTTTTTTTTTTGTTAGTTTTCCAGCATTTTGCATAGCTTTCTGGTAATTTTATTCATTTATTGGTGCTTTTCCATTAGTTTGTAGATATTCTGTCTCTTGTTTTGCTTCTCACTTTAGTTGCATGTGCATGCTTTGTCTTTTTGTGGTAGTTTTTTATTTTTTTGTTGCGTCTCTTCTGTATTTGTGATTGTTTTCTGTCTTGTTGATCATGTTTGTGTCTCTTTGTGGCCTTTAGGATATCATTTAGGTTGTTTTGTGTTACACTTTTGGGTGAATAGTGCTGTCCCCTCACAGTAAGAAGGTCCTGGGTTTGAATCTAGTCCAACCTTATATTTTTTTCCTTCCTCTTCCTTAGTTACATAAATGTATTAGTGTAATAAGGCCAGACTCATTGAGACCCTGGTTGGCTGTCTCAGTAGTCTACAGTATCAGTGGTTTGTGTGCATAAAGACCACCACATCCATCTGCAGATGGATTCTAAACTTCCTCACAAACAGGCCCCAGGTGGTGAGAGTTGGTAAGCACACCTCCTCATCACTCATCCTAAACACAGGTACGCCACAGGGTTGTGTGCTTAGCCCCCTCCTATATTCCCTGTTCACACACGACAGTGTTGCTAAACAAGAGTCCAACATCATCAAGTTTGCGGATGACACAACCATCATAGGCCTCATCACAGACAATAATGAGACGGCCTATAGAGAGGAGGTGATGGCACTGTACGAGTGGTGCCTGGAAAATAACCTGACTCTCAACATCAGCAAAACTAGAGAGATGATAGTGGACTACCGGAAACGACCAGTCAGACAACACTTAAACACACACAACACAGCACTCAGAAGCTACCCTACAGCTTCACAAGTACTCTGTTTAATCTGCACTGGTCACTTCACTTTATTGTTATTGATATTTATATTTAAAAGTGCAATACTGTAATTTTCTGCTGCTCATTCCTGTGCAACATCCCATCTGCCCTCCCGTCATATTTCTTTTCAAGATTTTCTTATTTAATCACTAGTGTACATATATTTATATTTATAGATACATATATATTTAGTCATCTTTTCTCTTTTACCATGTCTCTCTAATATTTTGCTCCTATTTTTCTATTTGTTTTTTTTATTATTATTTTATTATATTTTCTCCTACTGTATCATGCTGCTGAGTGACTGCTGCTCGTCAAACACATTTCATTGCAATGTTGACCCTGTGCTAACTTGCATATGACAAAACTTAAAACTGAAAAACACAAAGCAAAACACATTTTTAAGGCAACTTCTAATTTTATCTGCAGGTATAAAACCTTGTTTATTATGAATGATATCGGTAACAAAGTGAGCCTGGCAGAAACTGGTCTGTGTAAGGACAAGAAAACCCATCGTCCATACGTTTCTTACGGAAACATTTCTTTTCCATTGTTAGGAATACTTGAACACTCAAAAGAGAAAAAAAATGAATGTTACGCGTCTACATTTGATTGGCTTATCCGGTACGTGATCCAATCAAAGCTCCGTGCGTCTCTGCGCAGGGTTGAAACCCCGCCCCTGTGTGGTCGAGCCGGCCTGTAGCCTTTGGAGAGGGCGCCTCCACAGTCTCCACCCCCGGATACCCACTCACTCCTTCCCCCCGGCCCTTTATAAACGTAGCATCGCTAACAGGCCGTTCCCGGGCTGTTAATTTTTTTTCTCGTTGATGGTTAGACTCTGTGAGAGAAAGATGAAGTTCCTCATAGCTGTTACAGTTATTGTGGGATCCCTGATTTTTCTCGCTTTCCCGAATGGCTCGGCTGCTGACGAGAAGAAGAAAGGCCCCAAAGTAACAGCGAAGGTGGGTGTTAGCCTGTTAGCAGAAATCTTTGCTCTTATTTCTCGCTGTGCACTGATGCTAACGGGAAGCTGCAGCTTATAAAGCCACGTCACAACCAAGCTGGCCTGCAGGACGCCGTCTGCTTGGCTAAGCTAGCAGACGTTTAAGCTTCTCCGATATCAGCTGTGATTGCATTTATAGAGCACTCCGTGAGGTCAGGACTAAACTGACGCTGATGGACTAATATCCCAGAGCTAGCTGTCCATGGAGATCATGGAGCTAGCTCGCCAAGAATGTTAGGCCTTTATCTTAACTATGCAATCCCAAACACATTGTTCATAAATGGCCCCACCTTTCTTTGGCTTTTCCTTATCTGTTCATTTATTTATCTAATATAAAGAGATAAAACTGCAGCTGTGTGGGGTTCGGGTGTTTTTGTCTGGCATATTGTGTCTGGTTTGTCCACGTCTACAGATTGAAGGAGGCTCTAAACTGGCCGTTAACTGAGCCATCATGTTGGAACAGACTCACTATAAAACCCGATAAGTAACATCAAGTAGTTGCTTTCATTATTAGATAAATGTATAATATGTGGTGTCATAGGTCAGAGTTGAATTTAAGCAAGATTTTTCCTCCCGTGGTTTTATCATGCAATCAAAGGATGTCGTAGGTGAATAAATAAACTGCTGAACATGTTAGTTAGACTTCTCGCAATAATAAAGCCAGCTGAAACGATATTTCGGTGTTATATTTTATACTATAATACAAAAAAGAGGGGGAAACCCTTTTAGTCTTTATACGACTTCACACATTAACCATCGGGACTTTTATGTTGCAGGTCTTATAAGATTGATATTCAACCAAAAAAACAACAACAACAACAAAAAAAAAAAAACACCAGGGATATTTTGAAAATTAAAATTGTCCTTCAGTAGCGAGATTTCCCCAGACTCAAAATCTGCATTTTGCTGTTTTTGGCCATTAGATGAAGAAAAATGTACTAAATGTGTTCTTCAGACCTACCACCAAATAACTGCAAGTGCCTTGACAACCTCAAAGGGAAGAAAGGCACAAAAAACTTCAGTCTAATGATTGCTCTTGCTTTGCTTACATGAGCAGTCTTTAAAAGTCTTATAATTTCACATGGAAGTGTCTGCAGGAAAACTACTCGGGGAGGTTAGGTTGCAGCTGTCAATTCATTAAATTACATGGAGTTTAATCTTGTCAGTGTTGTGGAGAACATAAACTACCTATTTAAGTATTCTGACCCACCAGTTTTTACTTTTTGTTAAATATCAGTGACTTGGCTCAAGCTGTGGAGGGGGGGAGGGGGCTTTGAGCACTGATCCTGGGTTGGTAACCTGGTTCTTGGGTCACGAATCAGGACATCACCTCTCCCAGGAAGGAGGCAGAGCTAGTTCAAGAGATTGAGAACTAAAATTAGATGTAGCTGGGCTCACCTCCACACACAGCTTGAGTTCTGGATCCAGTCTTCTGGTGAATGGTGGAACTATAGAGATGGGGGGCAGGGAACGTAAGGTTCAGAGTTGAGCCGCTGCATTTGCCTAAAATGATGCAAATGTTAAAGCATTTGGACGCCTCCTTCTCTGGCTGGACGGAGGACATGCTGTCTGTCTGTGTCCTGCTGAAGACCATGGCAGTGGTAGCTTGGGACAGTGAGCGCTGGGTTACTCTGCTTGGAGTACTACCGTCATGCCTGCAGAAGAATGTGGATGGATGGAAATCCATTAAAAAAATCATTTTTTTGAAAAAACAAAAACATGTGTAAAATGATTTTATTAACTGCCTTTTTAAATGTATTTTTAATAGGTTTTCTTCGACATTAGAATTGGTGATGAAGACGTTGGAAGGGTTGTCATCGGACTGTTTGGGAAAACCGTTCCCAAAACAGTTGACAACTTTGCTGCCCTGGCAACAGGAGAGGTGAGAAGCCATTTCTTTTGTCACCATTGGCCATTTTATTTGTGAATAAACTGAAGGAGGTGATTTGGTCAAAATGGGCAGAAACTAAAATCAGTATTTCTCTGCTCATTCATTTCAGAAGTTTCAAGTGGTGCTCATGATAATTTTTTGTAATTTGCAATTGAACAGAAAGGATTTGGATATAAGGGCAGCAAATTCCACAGAGTCATCAAGCAGTTCATGATCCAGGGTGGAGATTTCACCAGAGGAGACGGCACTGGAGGTGAGACGTCAGGACTTGACAGATTTTTATTTTTTTTTCTAGCAGGAAATAATTTGCATTTTCACTGTCCTGGGTTTACAATGTACCAGGGCTGGGGTTAGGCACGTAATCACAATCTGCCGACATAGTTAAGTCTCTCTGTCCATAGTGTGGTTAGCACATTGGTTTGGCAAGTAAAAGGTTATTCATTCAATTCTAGCCAAATCCAAAGACAGTCAGCATCAACATATCTATTGTGTGCTAAGAGCCTGTTCAGCTCACAAACACTCCTTTACCATTTTTGTGGCTTTACTAGTCGAGTTCATTCCGAGAGCGACTGCTTTCAGCGTTCCTGAATAATTAAAGTGAAGATAAGCGTTTGCAGCAATCAGGCCATTCAAATGAGTTGCAAAGGTCAGTGCAGGGAGGGAGTGGAAATGGCTAATATATAAACCTTTTTCTCTTTGAAGGCAAGAGCATCTATGGAGACCGTTTCCCTGACGAGAACTTCAAGCTGAAGCACTACGGGCCCGGCTGGCTCAGCATGGCCAACGCTGGCAAGGACACCAATGGCTCCCAGTTCTTTATCACCACAGTTCAGACTCCATGGCTGGATGGGAAGCACGTGGTGTTCGGAAAAGTCCTGGAGGGCATGGTGAGTGTAACACTGAGTCATGTAAATGGCTGAAGGGGTTCAGGGGAAATTATCACCTGAAATATGAATTCTAGGAGCTGATCTGAGCTACTAAAACAGACATTTGATCAGTTTATTGTTCAATTTCTTACTCAGGTTTAGCAATTGGGGAAAATAAAATAATTGCAATAAAATTATTTCCCTTCTTATAAATCAGGCACACATATGTGCTGTTAAGTTTAAGCCGAGACAACTAAAATAGTCAGTAAAATCTGCCTAAAACTGTAAAGAGTTTTTGTAGGTGAGCCCATGCAAACATAAATAACAGTTGCATGCTGCTGCTGCTGCTGCTGCCTTTGTTCCCAGATCTTTGACCCAGTTTAGGCATGTGTGACGCCAAGGAGTCACTGCGGATGTACGCAAGTCCAGACATGCCTGGAATTCTCGGCAGGCTGGCACGAGCTTGTCTGTGTCCTTTTGAGTCGATGCTTTCATACAAAGTCGGTTTGAGTTTCTAAACTTGTTGCTTTTCCCGTAGTTTGGTTTCTTTTCACAAACTTTAAGAAAACCAGAATGGGGCACTACAGACTACATGAGGTCATTGAGCCAGCTTACTGACCTGATGGGGGAACTGTAGCTCAGGAGATTGTGGGTTGTATACTAATCAGGAGGTTGGCGGTTTGATCCCTCATTGGCTTCTCTAGTCTGCATGTTAGAGTATCCTTGGGCAAGATATCTAAACTCTGAGTTTCTTCTGAGGCATCATCAGTGTGTGTGTGAGTGTGGCTTTTAAAACAAACAAAAAAAGCACTAAATGTTTGTGTGAATGAGGCTTGCAGTAAGAAAGTGCTTTGAGTGCTCAAAGAGTAGAAAACTGCTAGTAGCTTTCCACGTGTCTGGGTGTGAGATCAAAAGTAAATGCAAGGTAGAAAGTGGTACCACTGTGTGCTCTGCACATCAAAGCAGCACAACATAATTTATAATTTATCATACAGTGTGTTTTTTTTCCCCCTAAACTTCTAGATATGTCAGGTTTTGAAAATACATGGGAAAATGTAAGGGAGAGCACGATGAGTTAGGATGAAGTGGTGTGCGTGACTCCAAAGTTGCCAAAAGTATGTGACGATTAGCTGGAAATTAAGCGTATGCAACACCCAAAGACCCCTGCACTGTTACAGTAGTGGGCTTCAGCAGTGGTTTCTTTCTAACCAGTATTTATTCAGGTATTAAAACTACCAGTTTAACCAAGTGGAATGCAATTAAGGACATTACTCCAGTACTGTACTTTGTTCTTTAAACTGTAAATAAAGTGCACTATGCATTGTAGGCCATAAATTGCATGTAGCAATATATAAAGTTATGCAAATGTTTTTATTAAGCTTTCAAAAAATTGTATTTTGTGTGGTTCAGGGTTAAACTGTACATTGCTCAACTTTGACCAAAAGAGGAGTACATTTCTTTCAAATTAACCCTGTATTGATTTTATGTACTTATTGTCTTGTTGAGGGGGAAAATGTAACTGTACGTTCATCGTTTTATCTTCTAGGACGTGGTGAAGAAGATCGAGGAAACTAAGACCGACGGGCGTGACAAACCTCTGAAAGATGTCATCATTCACGACTGTGGGAAAATTGAAGTGGAGAAGCCATTCGCAGTCGCCAAGGAGTAGAGCGCTGCTGTAAGGTTAATAAGAGAGCCGGACTGGGGAAGGAGGGGGCAAGTGGGTGGGTTTAAGGAGAAATCGTGCAGGCAACCTCGTTTTAACACTCGGCTCTGTGGTCCAGGGGGAGGGGTTTGGGGTAATTCAGTGGCTGCTGTCTTAATGCACCAGAAAAGGATCAACTTCAAGCAACCGTGACAACATACTGGGTCCATTTAACAACGAGCATTCCAAGGTGCACTTTTTTTGTAAGAAAAAGGAAATGAAATCTGAAATAAAGGTTTCAGTTTTTGTTAAACTGATGTGTACATTTCATTGCGGTCTCCTAGAAGCTCATGTATTTAATGCATTTACATAAAAGATCGGTTTGGTTTTAACACAAGGTTTTTATGAAGTCACGCAGTTCTTCTTGTGAGCACTAGGTGGAGCGACTTGCCTGCTGTTATCGCAGGGAACTGAAACCAGAGTGTGAAGCTCAGTGCGGCACCACAGAGAGCAGAATAAAGTATAATTTTCAACAATTTCTCAAAGTATGGGTTTTTACAGAAATAAGTTTAGTTGATAACCAGGAAGCCGCACTGAGGTCAATTCTTCACAAAGGAAACTATAACCGAAGTGTCAGCCATACAAACTCGAAGGCCACCACATAAAATGGGAAAACATGATCTACAGATGCCCTCAACAAACGCGAGCCCAGTGGCCTTGAGGAAAATGAGCCCTTCACTGTGAAATTTCTCAACAGTCTGTTAAATTCTGCAACGTACAGTTTCATTGCAGGTGGATATTTGTTTTGTAATCAGTGGCAGAAAGCAAGCTTTCAAAAGTCAAAGGTGCTTCTGCTAATTTCTGTGAAGCGGGGGGGGGGTTAATGTGGCTCCATCACCATAGCAATCCACGTTGTGAAATCCTGACATGTCAAGGCTGCTGGTGGCGTAAAATGAAGAACATATTACAATATACAGTCAAAATGGTACAAGGAGGTGTTCAAAGAAAAACTTTGAAAGATCTCTAGAAAACCTGGAGGACTGTTGGTCAAGAGAACCTTTAAAAAGTTAGAGAATCTGGTCCATTGGATGCAAAATAAAGTAATGAGGGTGGCTCAAGACTTTTGCAAAAAACTTTTAACGTCAGAATATTTCTCTGCTTATGCAGTCAGTGCAAGCAGTTGTCAGACAAACTGCCACAGAGCAGTGACTACGGAGCCTAAAAAGGGAAAAAATAGAGAATTAAGTAACACATTCATTGTCATGTGTGTCAGACATACAAAGATGTGATTGTGCTCCTGCTCCTCACCTCTAAACACTAAAGGACACTTCTAGTTAAAGGAATTTAAAGTTGTCAGCAGCTGGTGGCATTTGTGTGCCGCACTTGGCTTTAATCAAAATTGTAATTGTAGTTAATTATTGAGACATTCAATTAATAATTTTAAGATATTTAATTAGTTGGTTTTGGCTCCTCATCCTCTAGTCAAAAACAGGAATGAGCATAAGAAATCCACCAGCGAGGTTTTAAAAATGTAAGACCGCTAAATTTTGCCTAAATAAGTTTTATGACTAATAAATGTTTGATTAGCTGTGTTGAAACATGGTTTGCACGAAGATTTTGCATCATGGGATAGTTTCCTAAAAATAAAATGGCGTACCTCTCACTACTTTCATGGGGTATCATCATCTACCTGAGTTCTGGATTCCAGTGACACTGGCTACTCATAGATCTGGAGTTATATCCAGTAACCACTGTTTTTCTTTTAGAGAAGCAGAGTAATAAAGAGCAGCAGGAGGCCCAGTGGAGAGAATCAAACCCGGCAGCTGCACTCTGTAGACAGAGTAGGGATGTGTTTTAATATCACGCTGCTCCTGTGGCAAAGCCAACGCTCTAAACACGTTTGTAGACAGGTGCGGTCTGTTGAGTTAAAATTAACAGGAACTGTTCACCTTTTTTGCATTTAGATTAAAGATTTGCTTTGAATCATAAATGTACCCCGAATACGAAGCACATAAATAGCTCATTAATATACACGAGCAGCAAATGAAATGTCCTTGAACGATGCAACACTGTGTTGCTTTAGGTTGCAATTTTGAGTAGAAAGGAAACATGGGAAGTAATATTAGGCTTCACAGCTTTCCTGTTGATAACAGGAGAGGAAAGGAGTGGGAAAATGCTTGTGAACAAAAAACAGCTTCTGCTCCAAGAGCCATGCCCAGCACATCTTTCTTTCGATGTATAGTATTTGATGGTGTGCTGACAGTTTTCTTCAACAAGGAGTGTAAACACCCTGAAACATAGAGTAAAAATCTCTTTATGAAAAAGGGAAAGAAAGGAGAGGATCCTAGAAACAATGTGTCTAACCAAATACTTGCTCTGAATCTCATTACTTTGGCTTCCTGTGAGGAATCTTGGAGTCAATTTTGACCTTCAATGCACATGTTAAACAAATATGCAGGATATCTTTCTTGCTTTCTTGTGTTGCACAATATGTCTAAAATGAGAAAAATCCTGTCAAGTGTGAGAAGTGTGTGAAACTCACTCACTCATGTTATTATAGGTTGTCCTGAAAACTCTGAAAAGCCTTCAGTTGATCTAAAATGCTGCAGCAAGAATAGTGACTAGGCTACAAAGAGAGAGCATATTTCTCCCATACTGCTTCTCTTCATTTGCTTCCTGTTAAACCCGGAAATTTAAAATCCTTCTCCTCACAAACAAGGTTTGAATAATCAGGCCCTATTTTATTTTAAGGACATCATAATACCGTATCACCCAAAAACAGCTCTTTGTTCTCAGCCTGTGGGCTTACTTGTGGGTCCTAGAGCAGCGGTCTCCAACCTTTTTTGCGCCACAGACCGGTTTATGCCCAACAATATTTTCACGGACCGGCCTTTAAGGTGTCGCGGATAAATACAACAAAATAAAACTAGTACCGGTACTGAAAAAAGAAGATTTATTCATAACACACGTGAAAAGACCCAGGAAAACAAAATTAACGACAAAAACAATAACAAAATAACGCTGAAAACCGATAAAAACCCTGAAAACCATACATTTCACACCTGAGCCTCAACTCTCACGGCCCGGCACCAAACGGTACCGGTACCGGTCCGAGGCCCGGGGGTTGGGGACCGCTGTCCTAGAGTATGTGAAAGTAAATTGGAGCTCGAGCCTTCAGCTTCCGGGCGTCTCTTCTGTGGAACCAGCTCCCAGTTTAGTGTAAACTTTTATCATTTCAGCTTCAGCCATCTGAACAAAAACAAACTACAGGTGCACACCCCGTACCTGCATACTGGAAAGACTAGGAAAGCAAAGCTGATTTTCAGATGTTGTTGATTGTGAAGTTGCATAATTACAGAGTGAGGAAAAGCTTTGATTGGAGTGTAATTAAGATTAAATCACTGTAATGTGAAGCTATAGTCCTCCAACTTCAGACTCCAAACAGCTTTCAGTGCTAAAATCTAGGCCTCCCTTAAGGGAAATGATTTTTAAATGGTTGTCAACAATCAGGCCAAAAGAAAATATTTTAGGAGACCAAAATAGCAGATCTGGGCCCTGAAGTCCTTGTTTTGCTCAAATTCACTCAGGCATTGTATGACTCATTAGAATCAAAATATGGAAAGAATGCCCCAGAGTTGGCACAACCGTGGTCTTGGTTAAACCCTCTGTTGTTCAGTTTGGCCTTGTTTGTGACGATTGGGATTTGTTCAGTGAAACTGTGTTATTCTTCACTTACTGGCGTTGCTGGAAAAGCCATGACGGGCCGGACATATCTGGCATAGCTTCCTGCAAGAGGCTTTGTCAAAGAGATTAAACGAACACTGGAGAGAATCACAACAAGAAGCATGGAAGCTTTCGGTCACACAGGAGCACCGAACGTCCTCCTCCTGCCCTTTTGCCATCGTGTTTATCTATTCTCTGCCACAGTTTAACAGCAGGAAATACACAACAGGTCTACATGGGGTCATTTTATTTAAAGATGAACCAGATCTGAAAAGAAAGATCCTCTGTGCTTCTGAGTGCTGATGTAGGATATAATGTTGTTCTAACTTTAACCAGTCCATTTATGAAAGAAACCGATAAAACACTGAGGTTACCCGTGCTTATTTATAGGGAGAGAATTGATAAGAATTTAATATTTACACTTCCATTATCTATATCACATATCAATGAAATTCCTTATTGATATCTTATTGATTCTCATTGGGCTCTCACTGACTCCACTTTGAGTGTCACCACCATTGCTAAGCAGCATATCAAAAACATTACATTCTTGCAAAATTATTGCCTGCATTGTGGTCAAATGTTCAGTTTTGTGATCAGGATCATACAGTAAATCATAAAGTAATTATTACATATAAGCACACGTTTCTTAAATGTAATGCAGGGAAAAAATGATTCATTACACAACTTGACTTTCACGTTTCTCTGTAAAATAACCTGAAGCACACTGTCTTATAATTACCATTTAACAGTATAATCCTGAGGCTACAGGGCTGGGCTCGGCACTCGGCTTCAATGTCACTCTGGGTTCTTGGCTAGCTTAGCCTTAGCATGCTAGCTAAGTTGTGTTAGCCGCTTAATGCAGTTGTTTCTCTTACATTCGAGCTCTCATCTGTTTGTGACTAAAAGTAAAAGTGATGTCCTTATTCGCTCTGTAGACTGCACCACCCTTTTCATCCTCTTAACTAAAATCTGCCGATTAGTGCAACTGAAAGTGGAACTGATTAGTGCAATCAATAGGTAACAAGTCCAAGATACGGAGCTACTGGGAACCAGTTTGCCACAGGAACTGGTTCTTGATCCCTGTTCCTTCTTGTTTATGTTACATTAAATCGCAGATATTAAATTGCCTCAGTTTTAGTATTGAAAGATATTCCATGATGTCAGGGCTGGCTATAGAAAAAAAAAAAGTTTTATGAGGCCCACCTGGAAACTCCACGATTTCCTTCTGTTCAGATTAGACCGATAGCTTTGTTTTTGTGGGTGCAACTTGTCATATTTGCTCAACCTGGCATGAAAGTTGAACAAGTTTTTTTACAGTCTGCTTTACATAAATTTTGTTTCAGTTAAGTAATTTTTGGTTTGATTTTTTTAAGTTTAGTTTTAGTAACCTATAACTTCATTCATCAAGCAAATTTTATTTTCAATCTCTATGTCTGGTATCAACATTTTTCTGACAGCATTTCATCACTTCTTTGTTATCAGAAAACATAATCCAGGCAATATCGCCCGAAGTCATATATGCTTTATTTGCCTTTTGAAAAATATTCTGTTTATATTCTCAGTAAAAGGTTTGTGGATTA